TCAACGAACAGGTAACATTTCTGCTTGCCACGAGATGCCACTAAACAATATTTTGGAGGTGGAGTTGTTCGATGTTTGGGACATTGATTTTATGGGACCTTTTCCATCGTCCTATAACAATCGATATATACTTGTGGCAGTAGATTACGTGTCCAAATGGGTGGAAGCAAATGCATTACCCACCAATGATGCAAACGTAGTAGTGGATTTCATAAGGAAAAATATTTTCAATCGTTATGGATCTCCAAGAGCTATCACCAGTGATGGTTGAACGCACTTCCATAATAGGTTATTCAAGGTGGTGCTAGATAAATATGGGGTACAACATCGAATAGCCACACCTTATCATCCTCAGACAAGTGGACAGACTGAAACATCCAATAGACAGTTGAAAAGGATTCTGGAACTCACGGTGAATGCATTCCAAAAAGATTGGTCCAAAAAATTGGACGATACTTTGTGGGCTTATCACACCGCTTACAAAATGTCGATTGGAATGTCGCCATACCGAATAGTTTTCGGGAAACCTTGTCACCTATCAGTTGAGTTTGAGCACAAGGCATACTGGGCATTGAAGCAGTTGAACATGGACTTAGAAAAAGCCGGTGAAACTAGAATATTACAGTTTCACGAAGTAGAAGAATTCAGAAGAGAAGCTTATGAAAATGCATCCATCTGCAAAGAAAAGACGAAACAGTGGCATGACAAGAATATTCGACAACGAATTTTCAAAGTGGAGATCAAGTGCTCTTGTACAACTCCAGACTTAAGTTGTTCCTAGGAAAATTGAAATCAAGATGGTCTGGACCTTTTACGGTATCCCAAGTGTTTTCGTAAGGTACAGTTGAATTACACCACCCAACAAAGGGAAATTTCAAGGTTAATGCACATGCATTAAAGACTATGTAGAGATTTTCCCACTTCTAAGAAAAGCATTGAACTAGTTGTTCCAAAATAAACATGGCACATAGTCAAGCTAATGACGTTAAAGAAGCGCTTCTTGGGAGGCAACCCAAGCTTGTTTTCCTTTTTATTTATTCTATTTTTGAGTTTTAGGATAGTTTAACTTATTTTAAGTTTATTTGCGACTCCTTATCCATATCCATCTTTTCCTTAGATCTTCAATATGCTAGTTGGTTTAGTAGATGTTAGAGTTAAGTAACATATGTTTCAATTATTTGATCTTAATACTTTATTTGATTTTTTAGGAACATGACGTCGCGGAACATTTAAACCAAAATTGACCAATGAGCCAACATGAGCAATATCAAAGCTAGCCATTGAATTACATGTCATATCAGGG